TATGGTCCATCACACTCTAGCCACTCTACCCCTAGGAGCACATCCTTTTATTCTTACCCACTTTTATATTTTCTACGATTGAGTTTCATAAATATCTTGTGGTTCAGATCCCTATCCTGCTATCCTTGGATGTGCTCCTCTGTTTTTCCACCCATATATATGCAACAAATTTCCACAATGGGCAAAGATTATACCTGGTTCTGAAGTGGTGCAGCATATATATGGTCAAATGTACAGTTTTAATATTCTAACTTCCATTTACTGAAATATCATTATATATATATTTCCAATGCACTACAAAAGCCCCAATAATCTATCCTTAACTTTCAAAACTATGTGTTTTTATTTAATGCACATGTTTATAACCAATAGAAAGATTTTTTTCTGCTTCAAGACTGCAACTGTCCTTTTGAATTTGACAGCATTTGGTGTTAGTCAAAAGGAAGAAACTAATGTATATGTAAGTGAAGTTATTGCTTGTAGCAGTAATGGAATTTTGTGTATCCTATTTATAGCTTAGTTAGAAAGTCAGTTAAATGAAAGTAGTAATAGGACATTCTCTTCTAGTGACTGACATATATATATTTTTTTAATTCGTATTTGAAAGGTACATAAATTTTTGTTTGGACAATGAACTTAGAGTAAAAAATTAAGCATATTTAGCTACACATTAAAGTGCATAATTTCATGCTGTGCAGTACATCAATGTACAAAAATTTGCTAATGGGTTCTCTCTGTGATATGTAGCTTTTCACAGATGAATAAACTGCTTATGTAATACAAACTAGGGTATAAAACCATAAAAGTAAAAGAAAATAGATGTGAAAAGGTTAACAGTTAAAATTTATGAATATCATTAATTTAAGATGTGGCAGAAAATGATGCATTCAAAAAGAAGAAAATATATTATTCATTTTATAATCTTGAAGTTTTTGTTTCACTGTACATTGAAAACTTAGTTACAGTTAGTGTTGTAGTGAAAATGCTATAAAGTTTTACTGGAAAACATTTTGATTTTCATTTAAGAGGTTTTAGAGGGTATGCAAATGAAACATAAACTGTAAGAAGAAGAAAAAGTATTTTTATTCTTAGCATAAAAATCACCTAGCACTCGTATTCAGCACACCCAAATCAGATATGTTACCAACTTTTTATCCCAAAAGCTTGAGAATTATTTTTTCCAATATTTGTCCTGTCTATGTATTTGTGTGGTACAATTTGAAAATAGTTTATATATATATTCATAAAACTATGGAAGGTCAAAATGCTTTAAATATGCGCAGCAAATATTATGTATTGTAAATATCTATTGTGAAATTTGTTTGTTTTTTTATCTTTAATCACTTGGAAACTTCTCTAGTTGTTTTAAATTGTGATGTAGAATTTTTTTTACTATCAGTTCACAACTAATTATTACAAATTTTTTGTTTCATTGTTTTTTAGCTATTGCAATTTAGAAAACTAATTGTGTGATTAATATAATTATTAGAATCTGATGTTAGTATCATTTTGAAATATTTTACCAAAATTCAAAGATATTTGCTAAAATATTTTTGTTCTTTATTTTTCCAAAAACTGCATTCAGCATATTTATTTTAAAGTACTTATACAAGATTTGTTTTTCTATTGATTTAGACTTTTTATATTAAAGTTATAAATTATTCTGTCATACTGAGGTGTGAAACATGATATACATATATGAAGCCACACTTAAGGTTGTTTATAAAAGAAACCAATGACACTTAGAGGATGTATTGGAATCTGGTTGTTAGAAAGAAATTCTAGAATTTGAGCACAGGAAAAATGCAATTTTTCTTGCATAAGAAGGGCTTCAATAAATGTTTACTTGGAACAATTATATTTAGTAATTCAATTTGTAATTTAGTATTTTTGAAATTCTAAGCACTTTTTTTTTCTGTTTTTATTATAGCATTATATTACAGAACATTATTGCTTTTGACTTATAGTGTCTTGTTGTGTCATTAAAATAATATATATTCAATACTCTCTCCATATAGTTATTCAGGCGGCCTTCATAATCTTGTACGTTCCATGTTAGAAGTTAGTGTACTTCAACGGCCTTTTATAGATGGAGTTTTACTCCAGGTAGATAGCCTTCTTGCGGTACATGAGGACAAGATCTGACCTGTAGCTCAGCTGCTGTATGGTGTTAATAAAGTTTTAGGTGCAATTCATTCCAACCAGCAAGTGGAATTTGGTTTTGTACAGTGAATCCTCTTTCGAGACAACTGTTGGAACTTTGCTTGTTTAACTTATAAAATATTTGAGGTGATGGAATTGTAAAGATTAGTAAATTGTATTTGAATGAACTTTACCAAGAAAGTAGATTAGAGTATCTTTTTTTCAAAATAACTCGGCAGTAACAAATGTATAGTGACGTGCACTATCATTTAAAAAAAAAATTCTTACAAGTCTAATATTTTATAAAATTTCTGAACTACTACTACTTTTTTGCAGATTTTGCAAATGTATGTAATTCAAGTTGACCTACAAGTTAAATGAACACATCAATTGTTCTGAATAATATATAAACTACAGCAGATTTTAACATTGCACTTAATTATGCATTTATTCATTAAAATCTTTATCATCATTTTGAACTTGTTTTAACTGTATTGGAAGTTAAATGAACAATCTTATAAAGATATTTTAAAAGGGTAAGTGCTGAAAAGACAAGTTACCATAATAGCAGCATATACAAGTTGATTTTATGTTTTATATGAGAAATTATGTGCTGTGTGTGTTGTGAAACTTCAGTGTGTAAAACCAGTTTGTACAGTTACAACTCCCCATATCTTCACAAAAGACTAAGGATCAAGATTTTTCGAAATGTTTTCTAGATAGACAATGTTTTAAAAGTGATTAATTATGTTTGTATTTGATAAAACAAAGGTTCATATGTATGAAAATAATAAAATATACACTTTAAACTATAAGACTTACTTTAAGGTTAATGAAATCCAACAATTTCAGATGCAGATTTTTTCATATCAATTTTTATTGGACCAATGAATTACTGACCTTTTTTTTTCAAACTGAGGGATAAAATTAAATATTTAATGTTGGCATTCAGGTTATTTTCTGAAATGAGTTTTTTCTTCAGTGATTTGATATAGGTTCAAATATAATCTTATTGTAATTATATAACTGTAAACAATTTTCTTACCATTTGAATAAGTTCATAAATGATGCTTCATGGTATAGGTTTTCAGTAAGGTAAAGTTTATTTGGTGTATTCAGGTAATACTATTGGAAAAAGGGTGATGTTATTACTACTCTGTAATAAATTTTATCCCTGTCTCATACGTTGATGGTTTCATTGTGATTTGTTAGTTAAATATCCAAAATTCATATATATATATCAAGGATAAAAGTATTGTAAATTTTTAGTCATTATGTATTCATGCATATATTGGAATTTTTTATACACGTGTGTATGCGTGAAATAGAAGGAGAAATATAATATTAATATATATATATATATAAAATTATAGTAGAAAAAGGATTTTATTTACACTGCCTAGATATTTGAGGTTTGGTATCAGTCAAAATTGAAGAGCATTGATGTTACAGTATAGTTCCATTTCTCTAGCAAAAACTTTCTTTGAGCACCTTTTTCTTCCAGTCAGTTGTTACAAACTCCATCTATGTCTTTTTACAGGAAAAATAATGTATTATTGGAGATTAATCATGACCTTTCATAAGTTGCTGATATGAGATAATGGCAGAAGGGTTTTAGCATTTGCTCCCAAAAAATATCCAATGCATAGTATATTTAGAAACAGTATAAAATTATTTAATGTATCTTCAACTCAAATAGCTTTTTGATTAGAGACATATTCTGGTTATTATATGTTTTACAATTTACTGTAGGTATGGAACTGTAGTTTCCTACCAAGCCTTTTTGCAAAGTAACTTACTACATCTACTCATATAACTCTAACTAATTTTTATCTCAACAGTCAGGTCTAAAATGCAGGATAACAGCTTTATGAACATTTTTGGCATGAATAAAGTATATTAATAAATGATATGTAATAATATTCATTTATTAATATATACATGTGTGTATAAGTGATTTTAATAAATTGTTTAATATATGTTTAGTTAACAAGTTAATTAATATTTAAAATGAAAATCCCACTGATGTTTCAATAGAGAAAAAAAATGTCTACTCACACACCTTATTCATAGTTAGATCTATTAATATCCTAGTCCAACAAAATTGGATTTTTGTGTGTGTGTGTGTTAGTAGTGGTCTTATTTTATTTCAGTTCAAATAAGCATTTCTGTTGAAGATTAACTGAATATCTTAGTTGAAACAAGTATAAGAAACAAAGTACGGGTTGGTGTACTTGGTAGCTGTTAACATTATACACATACAAAAAGTTTGTAAGAACTGTTACCTTGTTATATATTAGTGGTAAGAATGTGTCAACATCTTGGGACAACATCTGATTAACTATGAGAAATTATCAACATATGTATATATGAGGACTTGTAGTTATTAATACTGAATAGCTTTCCAAGTAACAATTAAATTTGTTTTTTTTACCATAAAAGCAAGAAAGTGTGAACATAAAACATATTCAGTCAAAGTACAATAATTAAGGTTTATTCAGGTTACTCAAAGCTAACAATGGCACGATGATAAGCATAAATGCTTATGGTGAGATACAAATCAGATAATCATTTGTCTTCATGAAAAAAATAAAATCTATAAAGTAATGAAATATGAAAGCCATTTTTTCAAACTGCAAATGACATTTATATATATATATATATCATGTATAAAGTTTCCATTTTCAACATATGTAAAAATACATTTCAAAGAAGTTAAAGTTATAAAACAGATAAATCTTATGATAAATATGGCTTAGAAGAGACAACATATGTTTTCTGATAAAAAAAAACAAACTATGACAACTTGTAAATGTTAAACAATTAATTTTTGGTGTATAAAGATGTTTAAGAAAGGTACTTCAAACAAAGTAAGAATTCCAGTGCTGATGTTTCAAGCACTACTGCTGGCATATTTGGTTTAAAAAACTTAGAATTTATGGTTTAGGTGGAAGTTCTAGTGCTGTAATTTATTTGAAATAAAAATAATAAGTTTTTAAGTGTTTATGATGATGTGACATGTTGACTTTTGTTCCCACAAGTAACATATACAACATGTAAGAAAATATGTAACATTTCTAGATTGAAGTCCATTAAATTCGTTGTATAAAATTATATGAATAATCTTACCTACTTAAAGTCAATAGTTTTTACATATGAAACAAGCATGCATACACAGAAAAAATGGAATATGTATTAATTCAATGGGAGATACTCTTTATAGTTATATAAATAAATTATTGGTCAGCATATGACACTAAATTTCCATTCTCATCCTTTATACAAGAATATGAAACTGATTTTGAAAAACTTATCAAACTAATTTGTTTAAATCTCATGTGAATTAAACTTTAGTAATCAATATATATAAAGTGCAAAACATGACTATATATTAGACATTTACAAGATTTTTCTTTAAGGTTCACGGATGATAAAATTTAATATTTGGCAATATGCCATGCTTTTTGCATTGTAAACTGATCAAAAGTGGTGGAAAATGCACATAAGTTAGAAAAACAACCCAATGAATAGCAGTTTTAATGTTTAAACAAACCATAAGTAATTAAAAAAGAGGTTGAGGTAATAAATGTATGTTGATCTTTATAAGAAAAACTTCCTGCATTCTCCACATTAAGCAAAGATTTGTTGCATGTGATGTTCTACAAGTTAATTATAAAATTATTAATAATAGAAATAAATGATGGCTAAATATTGCACAATTGGTAAGGCAGGAAAAAATGGCATGGCCAGTGTATTTTTAACTTGAGAATATTAATAATTCTGAGATTCCAGGGTGATCATGTGTATTTGCAATGAGGGACCTTTCAACAGTAGAAATACAGATGATGGGTGATACTTTTACAATGGCTTCCAAATACACCCTGCAGATACATGCACTCTGCTTTCCTCTTGGAGGAAAAGGTGAAAATCCTGTAGCATGTGGTTTTCTGCAGAGAAAGATGCAAGCAACATATGAAGAGTTTATTCAAGCAATTTCCAACTGCTGTACTGCATTAAAAGTGTTCCCATATCCAACTCCAATCATCCTTGGTTTTGAAGTGAGTGCTGACCAAGCCATTTCTGCCATACTTGAACCAGATTCAAGGAACAATATTGCTTCTATCAATTAGCCCAGGCAACATGGCAAGAAATCCAAGAGTTTGGATTGAGCAGTCACTATTGACAGAATAAAGACTTCAGATTTTTTTTTATAGTATGCTGGACTCCCTTGCTTTCCTGCATGTTGATGATGTACTTAAGGAATGGCACACCTCAGATTAATGGGACTAAATGAAGTAGTGCCACAAGTTCAGTACTTTGATGCCATTTGCTTGAACAGTGCCTTTCACAGGAAACATATAGTGAGCCAACACAATTTGTCTGGGGAGTGTTCCACTTAGCTTTCCACCAGTACTCTGGAAAGTTCATGAGGCCACAAAGAATGGTAATCCACATAACTAACAATCAATGTGAATATTGAAACAAATTCTACAAACTGGTTGAATACCATTATCCATTTATTTAGAAAGTATTTAAAACTATTGAAGTAGAGGAGGCCAATGTTGCAACCATGTTAACACAGATTATTCATTGTGAGCGTCCATTGAAAATGAAAGGGCTTGTGCACTTAGATATGCAACAGAGGTTACAGAATCTTTGCAAAAATTACATTGAGGTGAGGAGGACTACAGGAGTTTTTACAGGGTGCTGGCTACTATATTCAACCAACAGAATATTAACTTTGTTTATGATTTGATTATTATTATTCTTTTGATAATAAAAAGTCTTAATATTTCATAGAAAATAAAAACGACTGCCATTTTTTTTACCGTACACCAAATTATTCCTGTCACACCGATGTGAATACTAGGCATATAAGGTCAACAGACTTACCTTATGTAAGGACTATGTCTTTGACAAGGAAGTACCTAACCAAATTGGACAATTGCTTGTTGTTGTTGTTTTTTTAATGACAAACATAATTAAGCCATAGAATACATCACAAAATGCTGCAGCTGTTGCTTACAGTTATATCAGATTGGAATAAAGTGATAGTACAAAAAATAAATGGATGGGTATTTATTAAGATCTAGGCAAATGAAAACGAAGTTAGTGGATGCCTTGTTTTAATCAATTATAATAAAATGAAACCAAAAGGGCACTTGTATCTACTTTACTTCTTACCTATCTTATATACCACGACTTTCACATAATTACAGTTATTACACCATTAAGTGATGCATAGTTTGATAAAATATTTTCTATGTATTTGGAATCAAAGGACAAATTCAAAAATCTCTTATAGTGCGGTTGCAGTACTGCTTTACGAATCGGTACTTACGTTTCTACAATCAGTATAATGGACTGACTAAATGTCTAAAGCAGTTCAGGCTGCAAATCGAATTATTGAGACCCTCATTATAGCTGACATTATTTTTGCTGCTGCGTTTGTGAAACGTGAAAAAAAAACGCAGTTATAACTATAGCAGTTATATAAATATTTCAAGTTCGTAGTGGAACGTGATCGCGTGACAGTTTGGGTTTTTTATGGTGCACGTAAACTGGTTTGTATATGAGAATGAGCAACCTTTGTTAGAGTTCCTTATATTTGAATATTTACATCGCTTTTATTCTTAATGCATTTCATTATTAATTTCTTTATTTTTATACTGTATATATATTTTTGTCAACACAGAGAAACCATTTGCACGATTTCTTTAGGTTTAAATTAACGGTATATTACTTAAGGCACCATTTCGTAAAGCCAGAAGAAGAGCACTTTAAAATACAGATGATCAAATACGTCTGAGACGTGACTCGAGTACATTCGTAATAAACTGTAGAAAACCGTGTCGCAAAAGCAATCACTTCATATTTCATGTAATGGGTGTTTGTGAAACAGATTAGAACGTGCAAGTGTTCCCCCTTTTTCGCGACAACAAAACATAAAAGACGAATATCAAAGTTAAGGAATGGATTCCATAAAATCGAACAAGAAAGATAATATAACGGGAGTCTGTAATTTTGCTTGGTTTAAAACAAATTCGTACTCTTACGAGTACAGCGAGCGTTCCTACAAAATACCTGTTAGACATAGTTAACTGAGAGTGTTTTAATACCTGCTTTCATTCAGTGCAAACCAATTCTTCAAGTTAATTACAACCTTTCTTTTTAATTGAAATGTATCGACAGGTCAGCGTTACAATCTAATTATCCTTCACATATTCACGCCCAGCCTCTGAACGAAGTTGCACTGCCCCAGTCTCCCGGTGGCTCAGCGGCAAATTTGAGAGTTTATAACGCTAAAAATCAGATTTCGATATTCACGGTGGGCACAGAACAGATAGCACATTGTGTAGCTTTGTGCTTAATAACAAACATTGTCCAAGAGGGAGGTTTAAATTTGTTAATTTACTCTACGTAGATAATGAAGAACACAAAAGGGGAATTAAAATCTTAGTTTTTTATTTTAATCATCTCTCGTATGGTGGTTTATTATTATTGACTTTAAACTTCACCCGACAAGTAATATATTAGTAGTGTTACGTCTCCGTTTGTTAATTG